ATATATATATATATATATATATATATATATATATATATATATATATATATATATCAATATAAAAACCTGTCGAATAAGTATTATCCCCGTATTCGGTACTACCTGACAAGTTTTATAGCTGCCATCTGAAATTTCCAATTACAACGCTAATTCCAAATATGTGAGACATCATCCTTTCCTCTAAAACAAGAGACTTTAAGCTTTTAATATAAACCGCTTTTTAGATGTCATAGTTAATAATAAGTTCTTAAAGTAACCGAACTTTCAGGAAGCCTTCCTCGGAAATATAAAAGTCAGCGATAGCTTCTGATCCAGGAAACATCCAAATCCATTAACACAATGACTACCCCCGTATGCGGAGTGATTTCCGTTTTCCAATTGGAGATCTAACAAAAACAAAAGTTTATTTGACGAATGTATTACAAAACTAACTACAGGACAACTTGCTACCAAGGATTCAAAAAAAAAAACCAAAAGCCTTCAATTAAAAACCCAAAAGGAGTCCTCCATTTTTATTATTTTTCTCGTTGCTTCACCACGTCACCCTATAAATTATGGAAACCTTTCCTCATGTTCCACGAAAAACTTGAACTTTTTTTCTGGTGCGTCTCTCTACTTCTCATCAATGAGTACATGTACAAATAATCACTGCACGACTCACATCACTTTTTTGCTTACTAGATTCAGTAACCAACCATACTTCGGAATTTTCTATAAACAATAACTTATAGAAGAGCTAATGCATTTCCAATGGAATTTATTCATATCTCCTTGAAGTTCACATTTCTCACTACACAGCAAATCAGTAAACAGTTTATATAACTAACATCAGTGCCGATCAGACTACCGATTCTAGCGGTCAACATTCTAGCAGTAACAACAGTAACCAATATAGCGAATTTTTCCAGAAATTTCCAGTCGAATACTAACCGTGGTATTTTCGACAAATTAGTGTTAGGGTAGGAAAAAATCTACTGTACAAAATGAAAAAATAGTTTCGGCCCATCCCATATTTCCAACAGTAATCAAGTTTAATGAAGCATACTTTTTAAAAATAGTGGTACAAGAAAAATACAAAGCACAGCATCCACTAGTGCTTTGTATTAAGAATTCCAACTACAATATACATGAAATTTGTAATTAAATACAATTAAAAGCATATTTTATCACTTATAAAACCCCTTCATTGCATCGTCGAAAATTTTAAAAAAACCAGAAATTCGCTCTACTATGGGTTATTTCTGTTAATCCCAAATTCACCAGTGATAAATGAAATGATAAATGATCAGTCTAGAAGCAACCGTTCAATCTCACCACTCATTCAAAGCACGTTAGGAGAGATCGATTCAGTGAAATTTCCCCCACCACTTCATTAATCTTTCCACCACTATATTTCAGAAAAAAAATCCGGAATTTCAATTCCTAAAGTGTTTTCCAGCAAAAAAAACTAAAACAAAACAGTTGACAAAATAGTGCAAGAAAAATTAAAATAATATGAACCCAATCAACAAATGAAAAGCACGGAACAAAATTAAAATCAGTAAGTTTCATAATACTCCTCACCTGTTTCCACTTCTCCAGCTGTTTCAACCTGACCTTCGTCTACAACATAAACATTTTCATACTCATCAGTAGTGGTACGCAGTGGTACATGTCTATAATATACAGTATCTTCATCGTAATCTTCTGTATCATACATCTGCCGTCGTTGTTGCCGACTGCCCGTCTGAAACATTATGATGTCAAGGACGAATTTGAAAATGATTGGAATTGAAATCAAATTTAAAGGAACCTTTAATAATACACCTCGAAATGACCAATTTATCAGATTTCATAATTTTTATTCTTACGAAGCCATAAAAGTTGGGGTCAATGGTTTTTGGCAAAACGATCAGGCGCAAAAATTTCCAAATTGAGACAAAAAAGGTTCAACATTTCCAACAAAAATTTTAACTCGCTAAACTCAATCGAAACTTGAACGTCGTTTGGATTACTGATACAAAAAAAAGGGACTTGCCGAATCTGTGCGTACTCTCTCTGGTATACTTGCAAACGACGGCAACCATTGCGCATAACGTGAGCCTGGACCGCGCCGTTGAAATTTTTGTACAACATCAGGATCGCCCTCTTTAATTTGTATCATCATACTATTCAGGTTTGAAATTGAATTTTGCGTTGTACGAAGCTAAAAAAAAACAATGATCAAAAATTCTTTCCGAGAAAAAATTTGAGGACAATGTGCCATAAAATCACAGAAATCCATATCAAACTTACTGCTCTCAACACCATATCCATCGTTTCATCATTCAAACGATAAAGTTGCTCCGATACATTGTCAAACAAGAACGAACAAAGTCGATCAATATTTTTCATCCTTATATCAATTTCATCGGAATTTGGATGCAGCGGTCCGTATCGCTGTTCAAGTGCAATTTCACTTTCCCCTCTATGATGAGTTCTAGTCTGAACTAGAGAAATTTTTATTTAAGCAGATATAGTTGAAAAGCCTATTGACAATGTTAGACTGCAAACATTTCTCATCAAACAGCCCAAGTAATTTACAAAACGGGATCCGGCACATTAATCTTTATTTAGAAGTTTCAAATCTTTGCCAAACATGTATGCTATTTAAACTATCCAAATGACACATTAGGGACATCTTTGGTTATTAGAGAGTAAGTATAAATCAAAAATATGAAAACAATCAATTCATTACGATAATATACCTCATCAAATCCACTCGTATTATCATTATCAACATTGACAAAACTACCATCATCGCTTCCTGCGCTTTTACTTTGATCTGTAATCGACATCCGACAGTGTCTGAGACAATATTAAAATCCCGACAAACAAACTTAATTCTTATTGTTCAGCTCAAGAATTTAGTAAAATAAAGCAAAATTCCCGGAAAAAAAAATGATAGGACTAACCCTGTAGATCTACTGGGACACTTCTGTGCAGCAAACCTCTGTAATTACTTGGGTTTTTAATTAAAGTGATAATAATTACTGAAGGAAGCATGAATTTTCAAGAAGTTCCATAGTAATTGGAGAAAACAAAATGAGACAAAGTTCAAGAAGATTGCAGAAAAGATATAAAAACCAAACGTACCTTTTAGGATGTGTAAGCCTAACACGTGCCGATACTTTCTCAGAACTGGTAGCTGGGAAAACGAACCTAGGGTCTAATGCGTGACCAAAATGAGTTAACTGTCCATTGACTTCAATAGACCTATAACACGTCTGTATAATACTCAAATTCTATAGATGAATGGAAAACTTTTGGAATTTTAAAGTTTTCCGAAAATATAGAAAATTATATATTCAATTTCTTACCCATCGTCACATTCTGTGTAAAACAAGTGAGCAGGGCACATTGCACCAATTTTCGCAGTACCTTTTCGAGGACGATTACGCAACGAACCTCCTTTGCTCACTCTATAATTTTGAACAAATTTATTGAAACTTTTTGTTAAAATACAGCCTTGAAAAAATAAAACGACCAAAAGATATACCGAACAGCTCTTTTTTTATGAAATACCTATAAACAAGCACATTTCTCCGTTTCAACAATTACCTTATCGCTCCAGAACGATTGCAGTATAACTGTCGCTTATTTTCCGACTTCCTGTGCAAAACAAATCCCATGTTTCGAGTAACGGCTAAATCGTCCAAATAATTCTGAAAACGAAATTCTTTCAAAACAAACTGCTAATTCAAAAATTTGTCTTCCAAATGAAAATTTTTGAGTCATTTTTCCATCTTTGGACCGATTTTTGTCTTCTTCTAGCGTCTCTCATTTTCCTTCCCTAAGTTGTTTCGAAATGACAAGATACCAAAAGGTTGTTAAACAACAAAGAAGTTCATTCAGATATGTGTACAAATAAAAAAGAAACCTGAAATTCCCCAGTGTTTTTGAATTTTCTTTTAACGTACTGTAGTTTGATACCGTGTTCGTCAGCCACATGTTCATTCAATGTATGGATTGTTGTGGCACGATGCTCACAACCGGGACATTTAACGGAAGCCTAAAAAAGCAATTTATACGAGAAATTCGAGATAAACAATTTAAATACCCAGTAAAGAAGACCGAGAACAAAAAATCAACGACTGGTATTATACTCAATAAAGGATCAGACTACTGCAATCACAAGTTCAATGAAAGAAAAAGCCAACAACCTTAAGATCTTTCTGTTTTTACCATATTCGAAAAAAATTTTTCAAAAAAATTTGATTTAAAAAAGCTTACACGTATAACAACTCGGTGTACTTTGAAACGATGAGCATTCATGCTATTATGATTCGCGAAGTAACGATTACAACGATCGCACTGCAACTTTCTTTTTTGTCCACTTGCAGATTTCTGATTTCCATCCTTCTTTATACTTTCATCGACAGTCTGCATATGAAATATTTTGGTGCTTTCTAGAAGAGGTATGTGCTTCTTTTCTAGAATTTGTGAGCTAAAACTCAATATTCCCGGGTCTTGATAAACAACGTATCAAGCTCTTAAATAATATAGAAAAAGCCCTAACAAAAGATAAAAGTGTGCGTTTAAGGACTATCTTCTCCAAATCGAGGTAAAAGATCAAATATCAGTGGAAAATACATAGCTCTACCTTGACAAAATCATATTCTCCTTCACTAATCTACTAATCTACACATGAAACTTTAAAAAAGTATCTTGCCTAAAAAGATATGATATATTAAAAAACATGCAAGAAATAGGAAACTATAAGCATGAATGAGTGAATACTCTTGCTTTTTACTTTAAAACGACTGAAAATTAGGAAGATGTATGCAATTGGACTCATTAACTTACTTCATTCAGTCTTTCTTCTTCTTCCCGCCCTTCTACATCGACCATCTCTTCGTCCTCGAAAAACTCATTTTCGTTATCATCTTCACCTTCCTCGTTCGTTTCTTCTTGCCCTTCAGATAAATTCCCATCGAAACTCCTCTTAAAATTAGTTGTCCTCAATAACTTCTCGCAGTAAATTCAAAATCTTAGAGTGGAACCAATTCCTTAACTATCTGCAGAAAACTTGAAGGCATAACTACTGAAAATTTTCAAAATAAGTACATTTGAAAATGAAAACTAGTTCTGAAATTGACTAACACTGTCCCAACATGAGTTTCACCTTTCGCATGCTAGCTGAATGGCTTCTTCGTGGTCTTTCTCCTTCCCCTGACTCTTTGGTTTCTGGTTCAAAACTCGAAATGTCGGAGAGATTTAGGCGCGCAGCATCCCGATTCGTTTCATCGATATAATCTCCGTATCGCTGTGGAGCCTTGTGAGCACGTCTAGGCCTTCTATTTCGTTCACTCCCAATACCTAAGAGAAACGAGATTAAATAAATGTAGAAGTATCGGAAAATTTTGGGAAATTTTAAAAAGCTCACCAACAACTTCACGTTCAAAATTCATTTGTTACTAACTGCATAATTTAAACTACTGTAACTTACTTTCATCATCACTAGTAGGTTCGGATTTCAGATCCTTCCGTCCGCACCGTGCAGTCAGTTGTCTGGATTCAGTAAGACTGACAGTGTTCTGGAAAAATAATTGGATCTTCAGCGGTACTTGAATTTCAATTACTACTTTCAAATCTGGGAAAGTTTTTGTTTTTTTTTCGAGTGTTTTTTTTGATGGCTATCCATAAAATGTAGGGTAGATTTTTGGTCTTCTGATTAAGTATTATTCTATCAAAGGAGCAGAGCAACAATTTGGAATGAAAACCTTATTCTTCTTCACTACGGGCTGAATAATTCGTCGTTTGCGAGTGCGTGGGACCTGCAGTGGAGTGCTTTTCTTCACACATTTTCGCAACGTCTCAAAAGCAAATCGAAAATCAGGTTTCGAGGGATTTTCCACAGGTTCCAGTTTCACCAGCCTTGGTTTTTCTCCTGGCGTGTTCGGTTTCATCAACATCATCACTTTAGCATGTGGAGGAAGAGTTGCGCGAGTAGTGAACGACGATCCAGGACGATATGCATCATACGACCCCGCACTGCTCTCTAATGCTTAAATGGAAATCGGTATCGTATGGAATTGGCGGAATCCATGAATAATTGCTGCTTAATTCGAGAATGGATTAGAAAGCCTTTTATCAGTTTATAATAATAACGTGCTACTTAAAGTTACGTTTGATACTTACAAGGGTTGATACCACTGCTTTCATCGATCGTTTCATAAACTTCACAAACAGGTGGTCCATCACTATAAGCGTCATCACCGGTTGTTTGACCTCGTTCAATCTGTGAGCCGCTGGTAGGATCCATACTTTCATAAAGATAATCCTCTTCCATCGCCATACTCTCCAGCTCTCCTCCTGTCACTTCTTTCTCGATCGTCTCACTCGTCTGTTGCATCCTTCCGGTCTTTGACACATAATGTTATGCATACATATACATATCTATATGTAGAGGTTTATCACAAAAGAGGGATACATATCGCCCGCACTCATCCCATTTTCAGACATACAAGCAAAAACGCTTACCATTATGATGCCATCCACTCATGGCACTATGCACTTGCACCCGGACCCTTTCCCCCTGTATGGTACCATCCATTCACTGTTCACGTGCCACCCACATCGGTACCAATCAACCGTGTCGTTATAAACCTACAGCCCCACCCTTGCTTCCACCTCCCCTCAAAAGCGCTGCTACCCACGCCAACCGAGCGAATGATGCAGCGCTACTGCCTGAATAAAGCTCATGACACTTAACAAACTTCGGATTCGGTACGGGCAAACTTCGGACTATGCAAATATGTGATAGGACGATAAAGTCATGCTAGCGATATCTACTGTCCCCCCGAAGTATTTGCTGGTTTAATTTTCAGTCACAAAAAAATGTCGACAGTAGCAAAGGTGGGTGCAAGGGTGAGGAAAAAGCCTGTTATCAAAATCATCCATAATCCGTTATACAAAGCGATTGTTAAGTAAGTTCACTTTCACATCAGATCATTCTACCAGTTGTATTAGTTGAAGAGATGTAACCGGCCATAATATAATAGTTCTAGTTTTCCTGTTGTTATTTCTTTCATTTTTTTTTTATCAGACGAGTGATAAGTGGTACAATGTGTAAAAATGATATGTTGCAAAAATTTGGTTGCTGGTGATATAGTCTGCTGGTTATGGTTGGCGGCTGCATGCTACTATGTTTTGGTCTGTTTGAATCTTTGAAAAATGGATCGTTCTCTTGCTTTATTTCAACATCACTCGGCACTTGCAGCTATTGTAAAACGGGTTGTGATAGCAATAATGATTACATTTCAAGAAGTTTTGTTGATGATGCAAGTTATTCTAAGTTTTCGGAATTCAATTGAAGGTGTTTGAGTGCAGAGTTAACAACTATATCTTACAAAGATGTTTGTCTAGGTGTATGTGCATATACTTCACCTGTAATGTTTGTTTTTATTTGCACATTTCTCTTCGATAGACTGATTGTTCAGAGCGCAGATGGCAACAGCTGCACCACCTTTGGGACCTAATCTGGGTAAAAGGGGCATTAATGTGGCGAATTTTTGCAAAGATTTCAATCGAGCAACAAGTAATATCAAGCCTGGTACTTTCTTCTGCATTTATTTTGAATTCTGGTGAATTTGTTACTAAATAATGCTGATTATCAATTTGGGCTTTCATACAATTAATAAGTTTTAGACTGGGTCGTTCAGGCTACCGGCTTATGGGACATATCTTCATAACTAAGGAAACAGTAAGAAAAGTATGGGATAGGTCGTCCCGTAAGTTCTTGGAAAATTTTCGGCCTGAGCCTCTGTTTTAGTCCAATGGTTCTTCCACAGTTTTTCACTATCACTTTTAAAAGAGATTGAAAGTGTTTCAAGGTTCAAAATTATGTTTGTTACGAGCAGGTACCCCATTACCGACACGGGTGACAATAAAACCCGATCGCACATATGACACAGAGATTTGTACACCGACATCTATGTGGTTACTGATGCGTGCAGCAGGGATAAGGCGCGGAGCTACACATCCATGTGAGTTTCGGCAGAATAGTCGTGAATCGCAAAATATTTAACATGTTTTATATTAATAGACGGTGGTTTCAAATCTCAAAATATTTAGCAGTTTTATTAGTTCTAGTTTGCTAGGCTATCAACAAAGTGTTTAATCGTTAAATCCTGAGTCAGTTGATTGAGAAATAGCGTAAAAGACTCGACACGGTTTTCCCTGCGATTTCAATGAGTATCTCGTTCTTTGATTCATATAAAAATTCGTGTTGTTTTGTGTAATGAAGTTTTAAAGAGTATTTTAAACTTTCAGGTGAGGAAATTTCCGGGATGATTACGGTAAAGCATATTTACGAGATAGCTAAAATAAAAGCTGCTGATAAATGCTTAGTTGGTGTCCCATTAAAAGTTAGTAACTTTTATCCAGAAACAGCATTTCAGCACCAAAGTTTTGGTATATTAATTTACTGGGTCATCAGTAATGCTTATTATAGTGCTTACTTCACTTCTTGTTATCAAACATTTCGTTGTTTGATTATCGGGATTTTTTTTTTCAGCTAATATGTGAGCAGCTTATCAAGACAGCCCATACAATTGGACTTAAGGTTGTTCGTAAAGACCTTGACCCGGTGGAATATCGTAAATTTCTGGAAGAACGGAAATTGGTAGTTGACAAGGAGCTGAAAACGATAGAAGAAGACAAGGCCGCTAAAGTACTCAGAACGACACCCAGTAGTTCTACTTTATGAGTTTGATTTTATTGTAATATTTCTAAAAAAAGTGATTAAGCTGTCTTAATTTCATACATGTTTTGGAACTGCACTTGATAATCATGGAAGAAATAAATTTAAGGCATTATTTTATTAAGGTTCCTGCAGTTTTGCGATTGAAATTCCGACTCCCCAGAATGCGGCCATGGTGCAATGGGCAACCTCATAGTTAATAGGTGAACAAATTCCAAGCGAACTTTTTTTTCGACTCATCTTTTGGGAGCTCAGAATTAGACTCAGCGAAATTTAATGAAGAAATGCTCCGCAGGATATGTTGTGATAAGCTGTTTTCTTGTAGCATCTGAATAAGATTTAATGAGAATTAGGAAATCGCCCAACTGTTGATGTGTGGATACCATGACCATCTCGTGCTTATCCTACCAGAGTTTTTAATCTTCTGCAATGTGATAAGAGAAATTTAGCTTGATGTGATTTACATATCCTCTTCGTAATATGTAAAACATGGAAGTCCTCGAAATAGTTCGCGTTATTAATGGAAATAAAGAAAAGGGCTGTTTTCTAAGAGCAAATAGTAGCTAATAGAATTTTTGTGAGCAGTTTACATCAGGATTTACGGTTGTATCATCCTGTAGTTGTTGCAGTAAGCCGTAGACAAGCAAGCATCTTGTAGATTTTGGAACCTGCAAGGGTGTATCATTGTACATTTTTCCATACCTCAATTGGTGACTGCGCAGTGATTGAAAGATCGTTAATATACCTTATAATTTCCATTTTCATTTCTCCCCAGTTTGCTCCTGTAGTGGTTATACGAGTGAAAAATTAGTGAGATTGACTAAAATGACCACTCTCGTTATCTGTTTGGCGGCACAACAGTTAGCAGTCCGTCGCATGATATGAAGGAAGGTGAAACTAGTCATTTATTTTGGTTCTATAGGAGTTGCAGAAGTCGCTGAAATTGTCCATCGTTGTCCATTTGTCACTCTGCTAAGATGGCTCTTCGCATATGATGGTCATCGGAGGCAACGCGGATCTTGTAGACGCCTAGTATAGTTTAGGGGACATCTCAACTGACAAAGTAGAGGTGGCAGAATTGGTGATTAATAAGGCGTTTATCTGTTTCATTAACTGTTAGGTTTAAAATGATCACCTACCGCATCAGTTTCGAATTTTGTGACCATCCCTCCTAGTTCCATTGCTTCAATGAATAGGCTGTAGCTTTACATCAGAGTGCAATTGGTTCTGAGCTGAATACCACGAACAACGGTACGAATTGGTTAACTTGCCTAGATGGTACTCGGAACGACAGAAAAGAAAGGGATAGTGAGTAAGCAAGCAAGCAAATCTTCCTTCCCGGTCATTCAGCTGACCGGAAACTCCTTCCCATTACGGACGCTTATCTATCTCTCATGACTGCTTGAACCGCATACTTCCGCTCAGCGTTTGCGGTTGAAACTGGTAGAAGTTTCTGGAAGAGTGGCCACCCCTACGTCGCTGCAGGGACGCCCACCGCATCACATCGATAGTATTGAATAGCTGCTGACAGAGTAGCAGAGTTTTCCATCGGTAGAGTAGGATAGGGTCATGATGCGGTCGGTGGCTTAGTCTCGCATTCTGTCTATCCCAATCAATCCCATATGGTGGTTCTTCTAAGCTCAATACAGTGAATCTCCAAAATATCTGATGTTTTAACTTGTAGGAACTGATCTTCCCATGCATTTCCTTTAAAATTCTTTCTGTGTCCTTATTTTGCCAAAGCAACGCTATGACCTTTGACTTTTGTTTTTGCAAATTTCGATTGAGATTAGAAATTTTTTGACAAATTATTAACTCGTCTGTGTTGAGACGTTACTTTTAATTATTTCAACTATTTCCTTGTACGTCAAGGGTCACGTTCACCTTGTCACTTTCCAGCTTACTTTTTCCCTCAACTTTTGTATAAACTGCTTGAAATGTCGAGCTTTTAATAGTTTCAAATGTTTGCGTTCTTTTGAGTAAAACGTGGTAGGAGTGGTTTGTTTCTTGACAATCGCTAACATTCTTTTCCAGATAACACGGTGACATGGAGACCATGCCGCCTGGCCAGTGAAAAGAATTAGAAGCATAGCCGGTTACGAAGCAATATTTTTTTGTTTTTTCCTCTCTGGAGCGTCGATTTTAATCCATTTAACTATTTAAATGAATTTGAATTAGGCAAAATGCGGCTTATAGGTTGAGGATATGAGCAGTATTCAGATTAAGCCTAGAAAATCCTAAACAGAAACCTGAGAACTTTTTCTTTAGGAACCATGTGTGTTAGAATGGTAGATCCACTTCAGGCATTCTTACCCTTTTGCTTTCTTTGTGATATATACTATTTGGTGATTGAATTGGTTTAGAAAATAAAGTTTTTTGAAGCATGTTAATAGATTCTGATGCATCAAATAAAATAGGAAGCGTATGATTAGCTTCAAGCTGTATACGTTTTTGTCGTTTAAAGAATTGATACCCGAGAGAAAAAATTCCAGATAATTGTGGTGAGTGGTTCAAACTGTGGTTCAAATAATTGTGGTTCAAACAAGTTTTTAGCTCGTATAAGTATCTTTGTCTTGTTGTGGATAGTTCTCCAAAATGCTTTTAATTTAAACCTTTGATTTAATCGTGATTTCGTTATCTCTCTTTTCCACTGGTAACGATGTCTGAGCGGATGAGAGACTACAAGTTATAAGGACGGATTTCAAATGGAATTAATTTCTATAAACTTTAAAAGGACAAATGTGTAATGTGGAAGTGAAAAAGATTTCGAAGCTAGAGTAGGGTTTAAGGAATGTACTATTCCTCATCATTGGCAATATCGTCGCCCAAGTGGCCGCAGTTCACAGTTCACTACAGTAATTCTAATGCCTCAAGCAACCTTGCAGGTGAAAATGAAATGGAGGTTGAAAAAAGCCGTTCGAGTTTCGCTTTTGTTAAATTGCTTGTATTAAACCAGCAACGGTTATTGATATGAAGAGTGGTAGATTTCGAAAAATGAAAATATCAGAAGCGTGATCCTGGTGGCATTCGGTATACAGGCTGCGAAAGCTTTAAAATTAGTTCGACTCGTAATCATTATGGTAGTGGTTGTTGGATGTCGGCGGGAAGTAAGGTATTATTTCCTTTCTCCTTTTCCGTCAGATTTCACATTTTTCAGGATGGGAAAGAACACATTCGGGATGAGCCAAAGAAATTGTTTATCCCATAATGATCACTGCAGAGTGAATTAGTTGATTTTTGAAATAGATCTGGCAGAGCAGGGAACTGTTCATCTCTTAAAGATATGATCAGAAATCGAGGAATTGTCTTGTTTCGATTAGCATTTGTGCCATACTTGTTTCCAGTTTTGTTCACAGGATGTTACAAATGCACATCCAGCAAATTAATGTCGTCGCGGTCTTCCTTTTCCTCCGTGTTTTTCTTATGAAGCCAAAAATTTTTCTCCTCTTGTTGATAGAAATATGATATAACTTGTAGCTGAAATTAAAAGTAGAGATGGCCATGTTTGACCTGCATCTCATCAACCTGCATCGACCTGCATTTCTCTGTTCCCTTTTGGTTTGATGGGATGTGAAGAATTGAAGGGGAAGATGAAGTGGGAAGAGCTAAGGAATCGAATGCCCTCAATACCACCTTTCAAGATTTAAAATGTTAAGACCAGAAAAGAGAGAATTCCGGAGAAAGGTGGCGATCTATCTGAACAACTCCCAAGAAGGTAGCAAGAAAAAAAAGGAAATCTATCACGATTGGAAAAAATAACTGCAGAAACGTTTTCCGAGCACAAATCATTTGAGATTTTGACGAAGACGAAAATTATGTATTCTGTTAAGAACGCAGGGAAAAGAAAGACTGCTTCATGACAATCTTCGATGCTGGTTTCAGATACGAAAAGAGTGTGAGCACCAGATTTTATAATAAGATTTCGGGGGGGAGAGGAGAGGGGGGAGGAGAGGAGAAGGCAAATACATTGCCGCAAAGCTTGACACAGCCTAGCTACCGCATGAGTTTGTCTTATTCACCGAGACTTTTGCCGATGATGGCAAGAAATTGTCGGATAAGCGGTACAGACACTATGATCTGAAGCTAGGAAATCTACCCGTTAAATAATGGCTAGGTTCGAAGAGTGACACCCTAAGTTTCCTTCAATATGCTATCAGTAGACGGTTAGAAATATCATGGTAGGAATAAACGTTTCGATCAGCATGAGGCTTGAATAAACAATGTTATCTGCAGGATGACATGAAACCATGAGTTAGCAATTTTCGAATGTGGCTGTATTTAAGGTTGAAAGGAATAGCTACCTCATTTCTTTTAACAGATCCGCTAATACTCACGTTTTTAAGTTACCTGGTCCGACGATATCCGAATCTTTAATGTTTCTTCCAATATATTTCCAGTATATTTAAACTTTAATGAAAAACTTAGTGTTTAGTACTTAGGGAGTTTGTGTGTCCAAGTTCCAATGTTCCGAATATAAAAAGTTTTCTTGGTATCTTCGCTTATGTTCTTCAAAAATAATATTATAGAGGAATGTCTAACAAGAAAATTATTTCAGTACTAGAATGAGTTTCATCAATTTCCCGCTTCCATTCCCAGGTTACCCTACTTATTTGGCATTCACTTACTGTCCTTCCTGACATGATATTTGGACTATTTGGAATGTAGCCCTCTAGCCCACTCATTCTCTTCAAATCTTATTCCTGATAAACGTGCACACGCAGTGACATAGTAATAATATTACAATGTGAGAGGATGTTCAAGAATGAAAAGGTCAAAGATGACCAGTACATCATTCGCTCAAGATAGGTGTTATAGCTGTTTTTTTCTTGGCGGTTCGTTCATTCTTGTTATTTTATTTTTCCTTGTGTCATTTCTCATAACAGAGAGTTTAAAACAATAGGAAGATTGACATGTCGGAATTACTGATAACAGGGTTTACAAATCATAATTTGAAGAATGCTCTCAGTCATAATTCAGAAATACATCGGCCATTTTTGATCTTAGGAGCAGTTGGCTTTGGTGTCCTTATTTTTATTCATGACCAATTGCCTGGAGATTTGTGAATCCGGAGCTTTAAGTGATTTAAGTAGCAGGTAGTTTAAGCTGAAAGATCTAAAAGACTAACATTATTTCGAGGAGTACGATGAGGTGCGCCGGTTTATTGCATTGAATGACGCCGATTCTGCGATATCTTGTTTTGTTATCTAATATTGAAATGTTTTTAAAGAATTTTTTGCAGTTATAGTTATCCAGATTTGTGAAAAACATTGAAAAAAAAAATCGTGATATGGTTCTTTCTAACTCAATGAAAAGCAGCCAAGCTGCCTTCTCAGAAGGCACGCTAGAGTTGGAATCCGGTTTGAAGATCAATTACGTGGCACCAGCATATGCAGCTCCGTTAAAGGAAAGTTCATCGACTGAGAATAGTACTGGCTCAGTTCCACGTAAAAGAAGCTTTATAAAAGGTAGGATTTTTCCATTTAATCACCTTTTCTGGCTGATAATACCAACAAAATTTGCATGAATATTATTAGACATTTGAATCTCTTTTCCACATAAACTTCAAATTGTTACCGTGAAGGTCTATCTCATGCTTTTATCCAGAATCTTACTAAAAAACATTCGCTTTTAGAATAATTGAGAAAAAGATTTCTATATTCGATGTCATTCAAAAATCCATTAGGACTAGAATGAAGAATGTTAGCTTTTTTTTGGAAATTCAGGAGAGAAGACTGCCCATGCACTTTTGTATTCCTAAAATTTACTGAGTCATACTTTCGCGGTTCAAAGGTAAAAATAATAACAAAATAGGACTCACAAAAATTAAAAATCGTTGCTTACCAATATTTGAAAGTTCCCTCATCTTTTTTGTCTCCATAAAATATTTTGAAAATATGTAGACTCAGTAAATTTAGTAAATTCATTTCATTAAATGCCATTTTTACGACTACGTAAGAGAAATTAATTTTAAAATGAATTTGGGCAGAAAGTTGTGAGCTGTAAATTTTTATCTGTAGGAAATGATCCACGGGAGGAGTGGGAAGGCGTTTTTGCGATGTGTTACGCACTGGATCATGCTGTACGATTTGAAACGGATGATTTAGTGAAGGGATGTAAAGTTCTGGAGGTAATTATCTAGTCCACTCAATTCATCAGGCTTCTAATCGTGAAGTGGAACTCTGAAATCCATGTATTTCTTCCACATGCAATTGTATTACAGATTGGTTTTTGTACTGCTCTTCCATCAGTTTTTGCTATAAAAAACGGAGCAAAACATATCACTTTGCATAGTAGTGTAAGTTCCTTTCTCATCTTTCAGAAGGAAAAATTTTTAATTTTTTTTTTGCGGGAAAACATCCAGACGTAAGAAAGTTATTAATGAGTCGTAAATTACGATCCGCTAAGCCTAGGGTAGGGAAGGTAAAAGAATAAATTCAACTTGTATTGAATGAATGTTTTAAAAATAATTCTCAGCTCTTGAATACAGAACAATGAAATGGTGGAATCTTGCGTGAAGTTGACACTGTCTCGGAACAAAATCAAAAATATGCAACACAGAATCCTTCGCAACTCTTTGGAAGACCTTCGAAAATTGGTGGAACGAAATGAGTAGGTTTTCACATGTTCTTAAGTACCATCCTCATTTGCAAACGTTGTTACATGAAACGACACAGGAAAACATTATTAATACATATATATTGTGGCAGTTTCCAGGAATTGATATTTTTAGAAAAACATTTCTTTCACTTCTCTGAGTATCTGTAGTGAAATGTTGTAACGCTTGAAACTCGAAATGAACATCTTGCTGTTTCAGGTTTGAGGTTATCTTTGCTGTGGAATTTTTTAACAGCGAGAAAAAGCGGTTCGAAGAAATTCATGATTTCATCGACTATGCATTAGCCAATAATGGCGTTTGGTAAATTCTAGCAATTTAAAAAACAAATATTTGTTCTAGGCAATTTGATTATCGTCTGGAGTGGAAGAAAGGAAAGCAAACAGGGCTTTCCTTGAGGTTTCATTCCTATTACTCGAAATGGAGTTTTAACCGTCTTAATACAGTCTGCCGAACAAATTTGTGATTTTCAAATCTAGGTTTTTAAAATTAGTTCAAGAATCCTTCAGCTTTCTGGAATCTCGAATGTTCTACATCAACTACGAAAGCAGTTTGCATGAATTTTTGGATCTAGTTAAAACGAAGGGGAAATTCGATGTTTATACCCGTTGGTCGACACCAAAATCAGAAATTATTCAACGAAGAGTAATCCAGCTGACTCGAGCTATAAGATGAGTTTCTCCACTATACTGTCGATACTATTCCTTTTCTTTGTACCAAACTTATGCATATTTTAGGTTGTAATGTTTCGGTTTCGTTATTTTTGTGTGTATTTATGTTTCGGATTTCGAGATAACTACTCTCTGAAATGTTTTATATTTCAAGTGACATTTTTGCCCAACCCGAAAACTGACAGATCTTTTCATAGTTTTTCCAAACTCTTCATGAATAGGATATTCTGACTTCCCAAAAATTTCTTCGAATTTCCTAAGTTTCGGCAGTTGGACACCCCGAATAAATCTCACTCATCTGTTTGATTCGAAAACTTATTCTGCATGAACCTTCAGAATTGGTAACTATTCAATATTCTACCAAACTCATGCATCTCGTAAAAACTCATACCGCTTTAATTCTTTATTATTGTTATGGGACTGCTACTCAAACAATTCTGTATTTCCTGCCTTTTGCCATAAATCTTTCTCACTTTAGTGGGCAGAACGCGAAATACACCTAATCTTAATATTCGTAACACCAGATCCCCAACTACATTTAACACAAACTCCCATTTTTTGGACAGTGAATTTAGAGCAATTTTCCGATTTTCAGATAGTGATATGCCGATTTTTGGACAAAAAAGTTTTCATTTAAAAAAAAAAACATTGGAACAAGGAGAGCCTACGGTGAATTTTTTTTAAATAAAATTATTGGAAGTTTTGGGAAATTGTATTAAACCAAGGGGAAACGCAAAAGTTCGTATCATTTCTCCGAAAAAAAGTTCTGGAAAGAAAATTCTGAAGATTGAAATAAGATCTAAAAAGTGAATAATTTTTGGGAAGGAATCTGAATTCGGAAAAGGCGTTCTACAGATCCATGTTTAGAAGTTCCTAATGAAACCGAAGGGTAACAAGCATAAGTAATTATGCAGTAAGACGGAGGTATGCATGGCTGGCACGTTTCTGGTGAAGGTACACTACTACAAATATTACAGCGTGGATGATAACAAGTAGTTTTTCTTATGACCAGCAGCGTAACATTATCATTTAGTTCTGAAAAAGCACGTTAATGCAATCCAAAAATGAATAACAGATTTCGAGAACTTCGTATCATAAAAGAGAGTGGCAGAATATAGTGGGGATTTACATCTTAAGAAATACTTGAAAGAATTAACTGTAGAAGGAAGGATTTGCTTGTTATTCATAGTAGGAAGCCAATTATCACTTAATTTTACTACCGCATATCCTAAGCCTCTCGAAATATGAGTGATGCATCTCCAGTTTCTTAAAAAAGGTAATATTTCTTCAAACAATAGTTTTCTAAATTTGTTCGCAATCCCATGTTTTTCTTGCTCTCATTTATATGTTTAATGAAGAGAGTTCGTAAAAAATCTTTTATTCTCAAACAGTGAAACAACTATTGTTTGAGACTAGTATTAATATGGCTATTTATGAATAGAAATCGGCTTAAAATTTCTAAAGGATTCCTGCAAAATACCTGTGATGAGTGAAAGAACATTCCGAAAGGTTTGGCCTCTGTGAAATGGTATGAGTATTCCATACTTCAAATTTCATTAGGCATCAAGTTCTCACAAGCGGAAAAGAAATAAGAAAGATGGATGAGTCATACATAACACAAACGTTTGAAGTGAGAAATACAAGGAGAGTGAAACATGAGTAAGCAGTATACTGCACTGTAATGAAAAGGCGATATGCTCTGGAAAGAAGCTTAATCACACGCTACTTAATGATTTAATCAAAAATTAGAAGAGGATCTAAACATCTTGACCCATTTAATTTTTGAAATCTTTTTTTTTGGTGGATTTTAGGTTAATAAAATATCACGAGTACGACAAATTAAATGAAATATAGTAAATTGCTGGCTTTTTTTGCAAAAGAAATATTTGCTTATTAATTAACAAATCTAACTTCTGCACTAATTCAAGTTAAAATGTTAGCCCAGAAGAGGCGGCCCAATATAAACCATAGACACTTCAGTATTGCCATAGACAGCACACACGGCGGGAAACAGTTTTAGTGGAGGCAGCTGACTAAAAGCAATACCTAGAAATTCACTGCCTTTTTCGAAATACACAGAGTGTTGTTCACAATCCACTACCATTCGAATTCTTTCTCCCGTCTAAAATAAGTCAAAATGCAAAATTAAATCATGCTGTTATGTACTAATGACGGATTCCAATAGTACTCATCTTTCGAAATGAATACTGCTGGAATCCATCATTGGCGCACAACAGGATCTTGAATCATTGGGATCTTGGAATGTGCATGATAAATGCGCAATGATATAGCAACATGTTCCAGTTGACTTTATGAACTCTGACAAATGCCAAATTCCCACATGAGAGTCAGAAGCTCTAGGCAGTACTTGGCTAGACACACAATCTGGCCTTATTTCGAAAATAATCGCATAAAATTCGAATATTCAGGATAAAATTGTGGAGAGACAAAAAACTAAAGAGAGAGATTTTATGTTTTCTTTTCTAAAAAAAAAATCATTCATTCACGGTAAGTTTTGGAGTCTTCATAAGAAGGCTAGAAATCTACTACAACTTACTGTGCAACAATATTAACCTGGTATTTTGGAGGATTATTGATATGTGGATAAGGAGAGATCGGTGTATTATTATGCAATAACTGATTATCAACAAGATTCCAGCCCCAGCTTTGATCATCACTTCCTAATAAAGCCACATAACCCTGACAGTGTAGCGCTGCATGTCTGAAAAAAAAAATCTATTTGCACATCGATTTTCCAATGAATTACTGTTTTAGCTTGATTTTTACTGATTATCTACAATAAAACACTGGATGAAGTTACATTTCAATCATATTTATGGAAAATTTGAGACCTTTACTGACCTTTTTTTGCAAATTCAGTTCACAAAATGAAGTTAAACTTACTTCGTCGCTAAACCTATACAAGCCACGGTTCCCAGCGGCCCCTCCCACATGAACTCCCATGCATGTATCCCACTGTTCACACCTATTTTGCCTGAAATTCCATAATCAGTACATTTGTATTCCCCACACAAAAAGCTCTTGAAGAAATTCACTGCACTTAATCTATTTAGAACCAAGCAAATTTAAATCGTAAATTAAAAATTCTCTCAGTACCTCGGACACTGTCGGTACTCTGAGCAACTGGATTTCGATGCACCGTAAAACCGTTGGAGCGTAAATAATTGTTTCTAAAATATTTGGATGAATTAAACTTTCTTTTGAAAAAGAAAGTAGCCGGATTTAATAACGCAAGCAATCCTGAACTCAGTAAGTTAAAATTTACAAATACGGCCACTGCATTTTTCTCGTACATTTCAAAGCAAACACTGCTCCTTTACCATGCATAGGTAAAACAGAAAATGAAATTCAGTAAGCGTGAAACCACTTCGAAGAGTCGTTCGGATTCCATGCATAGCAAAACGCTCGTAATTTGTCCTTGAAAGAGGGAATTTCTGCTAGAAGACAGGGATCATTAAGGGCTTCATCTGGGATAATTATACGCGCCAGACGTTTCCATACAAAGCTATCCTATAAAGTTTAGCACTTACCAAAAGCAATATTAAACAATGTAGTAAAATAACTGAACAGAAAAGTAAATGATCAATGAGCTCAACCAAAATAATCAAATGTAGCTAACCGGATACTGTAAAACAGTCCACCAGTGTCTACAAACTCGCATACATTGTGCCAAGTCTTCAAGACTTAAATATTGAAAAACTGCTAAAAGCACGACATGAGGTAAGCGAGCAGCTGAAACGGCGCGCATTCGACGAGTAAAACACGCAAAACTTTTCAAATAACAGTGATCTTGTTCAGTTGAAACTTGACGTACAACATCATCTGCAACGGAAGATGATTAAATGAGAATGTAAAGGATGTAAAGAACGTAAAAAACTTGGACGTAAAGGCAAAGTAATAC